GCCCCTCACCTGAGACCCTGTGAAGCTACCGTGAAGAACCTGACTATATATGCAGTCATAGTCACCCAGGCCTTTCTAAGCCTGAAATTTGCCTACATTTATATTGTGGCACTTCTTTTTTAATTATTATTATTTATTGAATACTATAAAGTATGTAATTATTAAAGTAAATAAATAAAAATAGGATAGAAGCCTAAATGGACTCATTTTACAGTCTTTTTCAGTTCCCTTAAGTTGTCATGTTTGCTTAAAAACCCCATCACTGCGAGTGTAAAACATAAGCCCGTATGACCTTCACAGCCAGCTGGAGCAAAGAAATCAGTATAATCCTAATTAACATTCTGCTCATTTATATGTGCTTTTCTTAAGGAGAAACCTGTAACATCCAATAAGGCTTCACTTTAAGTGCCTATTGAAAAAGAAGAAATAAACCACCATCTACAGAGATAAAAATGAAATATGCCTCTGAAAGCCATTGATTGCCCCAAACCACCCTGAATGAGTCCCAAACACACCTATGCCAGATGGTAACAATGATTTTACTCAACAATTCTGCAATATAACACTACTGTATTCTTTTTTCAAGCACAGAAATGATTGTTCTCTGACACAGATGTTTTAATGATAAAGAATTGTCTTATCTACTTTAAATCTTTTTCTTCACATAGTTCATATAAACACGTAACCTGGAGTATTAGGGTATATGAATTTAAGGGCATGAAGTCAAACGGCGTGAAGTTACTGCTTAAATTCTGGCAGGCTAATGAAGAATTTTATCATTAAAGAGAATGTATTAATAAACATCCTAGTTAAAGACTAATTTAAATCACTTTACTTTTGCAAAAATCTAGCCTGGGGATGGTTTCTTTTGATGAGTTCAGCATTTTTCTGCATCCGTTATATGATATGAACAGATACACAGCTGCTGCGTAACTACTCTTTATGAATAGTGCCTTCTGCCAGGATGCTATCAAGGATCTTGTCTTGTTTGATTAAGCCTTGTTACATGCTCACAAGTAGATGAGCTTTGAAAAGATAAATACTACAGAAGCATTCTTCCTTTGCTCTTAAGATTAAATGGAAATTTTCCTTTAAAATAATAACCAAATCAACAAGGAGCCCGGAGAAGTTCTGCTGCTCTGCTGCACAGCTTGCTCCCATTGCTGGGCCATGTGTTTGCCATTTCTCATTCTAGGCAAAATTCTCTTTCCACACATGTAGAAAGCTCTGTGAGCAGGTATTTATGTGCTCTGACAATAAACTCAAACTGTGACTTCTTACTGCTTTTATAATTCAGAACATGCACCCTGACCATCATGCACCAAGTAACGGCATCAGCTTTACATACAGTATCAGCCTCAGTTGAATGCTGGTAGGCTTAGATTACAACAATACGTTTACAGCATACTCCAAAGTCAGCATCAGGCCTCAACTTGAATCCAAAACACATGTTGCACAGACAGCTAGGGATAGGCTTTAGATGGGCAATGGGACAAGAGGAGGTGAGAGGTTAGGGCCTGCACTACGCCTTTACACAGCCTCAGATGCTCACCTTTCATCAGTGTAAATGGCCCAACACTGTCTGTTAACCCTAAATCAAATTAATTTACTCAAGACAAGCTTTGACATGACCTGTCCTGAAGAAAACAGAATCTGTTAGAGCCTGAGTATGGTTGCTCCTCAGATGGTGTTGGGCAGATGGACCATGGGTGCTTCTTGTAGCTACCCAGACACACAGAGGCATGCTCTTTGGTTCAGTCCATTAAGTCATAGGCTATCAAAGCACAATACAAATAGTGTCAGCTAGGTCTTGAACTTTCTGAATGCTGAGCTATAGAATCATAGAATCGCTTACGTTGGAAAAGACCTTTAACATCATTGAGTCCAACCATTAATCTAGCACGGCCACATCCATGACTAAATGTTCCCAAGTACAACATCTACATGTCTTTTAAATATCTCCAGGGATGGTGACTCCACCACTTCCCTGGGCAGCTTGTTCCAATGCTTGACAACCCTTCTGGGGTAGAAATTTTTCCTAATATCCAATCTAAACCTTCCCTGATGAAACTTGAGGCCATTTTCCCTTGTCCTACCACTTGTTACTTGGGAGAAGAGACCAACACCCACTTTGTTATGACCTCCTTTCAGGTAGCTGTAGACAGCGATAAGGTCTCTCCTCAACCTCATTTTCTCCAGGTTAAACGCCCCCCATTCTCTCAGCTGCTCCTCAAGAATTTATGCACAGGAATGAATTCCCAAACTAGGCCCTTTGTGCACAGTGTGAGAGGATCTGAGAGCTCTTGATCTGTTTGTTGTATCGCTATGCAGGCAGTGAGAATAGAGGAGCAGGTGGCTTGTCTCAAGATTACTGCTCCTCTTGTAATGCCAACATGACATAGCCAGCAGGATTTCTGGCACTAACATGATCTACTGGCCTTCCGGCATGTATTACTCCTTACAGACTGATATAAAACCAGTATGACCTAAATATGCACACTTTGGTTTCTGTCCCTCAGGTTCTTAAGAAATGCATCTACAGATACCCTCACAGACACCTTGAAAAGCTCTCTTGGTGGTGGGAAGGGTTGCAATGTTGGCATCTCATGAATCTTATGATCTGGGGTAAAATCCTGGGCTGACTTAAGACAGTGTGGTCACAGGAATCATGTTCTTACCTTCACATCTTCATAAAAAAATCACTTGAAAGAGAAATTTCAGAAGTTCTTGGTCATTCATTTGGAAATGGATACATTTCTCATCTTTAAATTTGCCTGAAAAGCTGGACAACGTGAAAAGAGTGGCAGTGTCAGTCACTGCACCCGTTACACAAACTAATCCAGCTGATTTTTCACTGAAGTAGCTTAGAAGTATTCTTACAAGCCACCCCACCAGGGCAACTGAGTGGATAACAACCTCTGGTTACCAGCCAGCAACAAAATGCTGATAATATCAGCAGCCACAGCCTAAAGAAGACATCGCACCATGCCTTCAGGAAATGTAGAGTAATTCAGGTTGGAAAAAACCTCTGGAGGTCATATGATACAACCTAGCTAAAAGCATGTCCAGTTAGTACAAGTTGTTCAGGGCCATGCCCAGGCAAGATTTTAGTACCCCTGAGCTTCTCTGGCTCCTATTCCAAATTTTTACTTACCCTCACAGTGAGTAATTCTTTCCAAATATCTAACTTGCAAATTTTGCTGAATGTCCCATGTCCTATCCATACACACCTGGAAAAGACTCTCTCCCTGTTTCCTTACATTTCTTACTGAAGTAGTTGCAACCAGTAGTAAGATCCCCCTGAGCTTTGTTTTCTCTAGGCTGAGCAGACCCAACCCTCAGCATCTCCTGGTACATCACATGCTCCAGCCCAACCCCACCTTGACAGACAGCCCTCCTTGGGGCTTCCTTCTTGTACAAAGACACCTTTTTGCTGTCTCTTTTAGATAATTGCATAATTTTGCATGTATTGATGTTAAATAAATAAATTAAGATTATGAAAATAAGCTTTTAATAAACCTTGCTTCATTTCTTTTTTCACTGTGGACTTAAGAACCTACTTTCATCACCTCATCTAATTAGACAAGCAGCAGTATGATATCAATGGCTCCTATTATGGAGCCATTTTTCTCATCAGAGAGATCTACTTATTAACCTCATCTAAGATCACCTGTTTCTACCATTTCCCAAAAGACCTGAAAGGTCTAGACTTTGTCCAAATGATATTAGCTTGGAAAATACTGTCCAAGACAAGTCTCTGAGCTTCTAGCCTCAAGTAATTCTCAAAATGATATTTGTACGATGTCTTTTGGGATTTGTACATGATAGCACCATTATCATGCTTCACATCACAATCTCCCTCTGTCTGCACAGACCAAACAGCAAAATAGCAGTTTAAGCTAAGAGTTACTCTTTCTACATTTTAGTAAAAAGGAAAGTATAAGTTAATTACATCCTGAACATCAGGAAACAATTAACAGCTTTCTGTTATATCACCCTGATTTCTAAGCTATACAATTATATGCTACTGCAGAAAAGGATGTGTGATTATCAAAAGAGGATCTTTTCTGCGCAAAATGAAAGGAAATTGTTCCACCGGTGACAATCAGCGCTATAAATAATGCCTGGCTAATATCTTTTCAGAAGTCATTTCCGTTAGTCGCAATCCTAACTTTGAGTGATGTGCTGGCCATGTGTTGCCAGACTCTCCTCCCAAAGAGGATGAGCGCAAGTGCGGGACTCTGATTTCTCAGACAAGCACTTCTAACTTCAGCTTCCTGTGAATATTCTGCATTAGTCATTGGAATTAAATTAAAAACCATTGGGTTTAGAACCATATTGTAATTATGCCTTGTGTTTGGTTTGCCTCTTAAATCAGAGCTAAGAATGGCTTGTGAAAACACAAAGGAATACAAGCAGCCCCAGAGCTTTGAAGACATGAGTAACAATGTGAAGAGCAACAAATACAGCACACAAACACTTCTTTTGAACTCCTGCCAATAAACTTATTCAGCCCAATATGCCGGAAAGTGGTGCAAACACAGAGCCAGCGGATTGTACAACCGCTCAGCTGAACACTAGTGGGCACATTACAGCAATATGCCTGTTTCGGCCCTTAGTGTTAGAAGCAATGAAACAAACCCACATAAACCTCCAAACTACAACTCAAAGGACACCGTGCTAGAGGACAGCTGTGTAGTAACAGGGTGGGGGAATCTTTGCAAACCAGGTAGGTTATATAAGATCCATAAAGCATAAATACAGTTGTGTTAGTGCTGCTTATCAGCAGAACTTTGGTATCTGCAGATGCCTTGTGCAATGCACCTCTGGGACAGCTATACCTCTCCCCCAGAAAGTTCAAGTTTTACTCCAACTTTTCATTCCTTGTTATCTTACACCTCAAGGTTTCTTCTATGCCCCATCCTGGACAAACATTGTCTTGTCTGGCTCTTATCTAGCTGGAATGCTCTTGGAAAGAGCTTTCACAGCTCTTGATCTCCCTTATTCCTTCCACTGCCTCCCCTTCTTCTGTCCCTTCAAACACAGTGTTACTGTGCTTATCTTCACTTTCAAGCTCCCACCTTTGCTATCACCATCCCTCAGGTGGTGTTGGTTTTTGCTCTGACTGGTCATTTAGTTCCAAGTTTTCCATTCATTTAAATCTTCAAGTGAGAATCTTTGTGTTTGCTGCCTTAAATACACCAGAGGCACCCTCACCCAAACAGCCTGCACCCAAACTGCATCCCAACCGAGATTTTCTGCAGCAGCAGCAGACAGACACATGGGCCCAACACCACTGTAATACCCACAGCACAACCGACAGTCCCCTGGTTCTCCACAGAAACCAGAAAACTCCCATCTGCCTGCAAATCCCTGTAGCACAGCTGTGGTGGCCCATGTAATCACCCACACAATTGCAAGGAAATGGGGAATTATGGCCTTGTTATATGTAAGCCAGCTTCTATATTTGCTCTGAATTAGCGAACCCAATCAGGCATATTTTTTAATTACCCGTAAATGCACCTTTGAGATCCGAATGCACTTACTGGATGGAGGCACTGTTAGGAAGACTGTAAAATTACAGGGCTGATAATTAAGGCGAGGGGCACATTCTGAACTAGTGCTGGCACATTGGCAGCACTGTGGTGTGCTGGTCGTATAACTTTCATAGTACAATTTCAAAACGTATGAAATATCAACATTTGTCTCCATTGATGCACAATAACCTGACAAGACTGCAGAAGGAAAGGTAAAAACCTTGAAAGGGAAATAATGCAGGCAAATTGCAGAGTTTCTGTTCCTATCTCATAACAACATGTGCACTGGGCTTTTAAACTCAACATGATTTTTATAGTCAGTCTTCTGCTGGAGTCTGAAATTTCTTAATGGGAATCCAGCAAATTCTTGGCCCATGTTGAGTTTAGGCAAATTAAGCACTGCGAGGGTGGGCGAGCAAACCCAGCAGTGGCTGCTGCCACTGTTTCTCCATCCTTGACCATATGGTTCTGCAGCCTCCCTAACCCCAGTGCTGGCACTAGTCTGCCCTCATGCTGAGCTGTTTAGAAAGTTAATTTTTTCTTATTTGGCTTCAGTTGCTTTAGTTCCCTGAACTTCTGTTCCCAGACGAACACCAGTGCAAAGTGCAAGGGACGTGATAAGAGCAGGGCAGTAGCAGCCTGCAGTTAGACCCACTCTATCAGAAAACCACAGCCTTAAACTGCACGTCAGTGACATGGGTTAAGCCAGCACCCATTTCTCTCACTGTACTTCTTCAGAGAAAGCTTTCATGCGGTCATGCAGTAAATCTGTTTGTAAAACTGACCCAACTGAAATATCAGCCATCCAAAAGCCCTGCTGATGACTTCCCCCGTACAGGTCACTGTGTGCTGATGGCCCACAGACGCTTAACACAGTCCCAAGGAGGGAGAGAACAGAGGAAGGAACAAGGAGCCAAAAACACCTATGCCAGTGTAGGTACAAGAAAGAAAGGGCCACTCCTTTCAGTGGCAATGCTTGCTCAAAGTCTTAGCCATCCAAACTAGTAGCTTCTCTCTACTTCTCTAGCTCCAGGCATACCTGTGCCATGGGGAGGAGCCCAACAGAGGTACAGAAATAGCTGTAACAGAAGCAGACCTGCTGATGATCACTGCCTGAGGAGACTCCTTTGGCTTCACAGGTTTCTGTAGACACTGAGTGAGCCTGTGAGTCTGGGGGTTATCATTCCCATTTCTCCATGCTTCCATGAAACTCAATACTTTTGAATTTTCAAAAAGAGAAAGAAGCTGTACATTATTTTACTTCTACTCCTGCTATACAGCACTCACCTGGCAATGTAGGTTTAAATGGTTTATTTTTCGTTAACTCTGAGTTCAGTTTTATTCTTTCTGCCGCAAGGAGCAAAAGCATATTCACAATACAGTCATTTCTCATTAAGGACTCAGGAAAAATACGGGATTCAAGGGAAAAGTCAAATCTCCAAACCATGAAAAAAATGAATTAAAATTCATGACTGTTGTTGATATTTACAGAATTGTTTAAAAATCCTTTCTCAGCTTCCCTTCTGCTAGGTAGTGGAGACAAACTGCCTTTGTCTCTCCATTCTATTATAATACCAATAGTCTTAGTCAATACAGTGTGGCTAAGGATTCTTGTGAGCCTGTGTTCAAATAGGTTTAAGCCGGTTTTAATTCCAGTGGTTTGTATGTTAAAATTGTTTAAAATATATGGCTTATTTGTCATGCTCTTGCTTAAGAAAAAAAAAACAAGAACAAGCCATGACTAACATGTGAAGTGCATCCTTCACTCAACGACTGCCAGCAGTTCTGCCAAGACCTGAAGCTTTGCAGTTTCTGTCTTTATTAACATTTAGAGCCTCAATGCAATTTTTCTTCAGGGACCAAGTACAGAAACCAAACCTGCTTAGCTATTGCTTCTTACCCAGCATTCATTCCCTTTGCCAGTTCTTCATCAATTTAATCTCTTCCCACAAAAGTTTATTTTAAAGAGATGATTGTGTTCAACCCTGGCCTTGAAGGCAGGAGAAAAAGTACCTTTCAGTTACTAAAAGGACTCACACAAGCCTGCTCTGCCAGGAAGAGAGAAGCAAAAGAGTTAACCACAACAGAAGGTACATTTGATGCTGTGACAATACCCTTCACTTCCTTAAATTTTACATCAAAGCACTGAAATTCTTGAAGTTTTACACTTCAAAAAGTACTGAAGTCTACAGATATAAGAAATACCTCAATTAAAATGAGATGCACTGATGCCTCTGTAGTCCCTGTCTATTGATGCACTAGGGAAAGGTGGCTGACCTCCCTCTGTCTTCAGTCTGGTCTCTCACTCTACAAACATGAAAATGAGAAAAGAGAAGATCCTTTCCTTAACACAGTACCCAAAGCTCCCACCCATCTTGGCACACAGCGTCTGCAACTCACACCTGGGAGGTATTTCTCTCTGCTCTTCTGGGACACCACTCTTGGTCCCAGTGTCTGACCTCCCAAACCAGAAATCCCAATTTCAACAGAGTTCCACTCTGGCTCCCCAAGTTTGGTGGCTTTACACAGACTTTCCCTCCCTTGCCAGTCATAGCCTGCTACTGCTGGAGGAAACCACTACCAACTGCAGCCAAGATTTGTGTTGCAAGAGCCTGATATTTCTCCAGAGCATACAGTGCCTACCCCTGCTGGGACTCGATAAACAGCTCAAATTCCTAGGCATTATCACTACGCACATAGTAAATAATAATGACAAGTGATAGCAGGACTTCTCTGTTATGGTGTCAGCCTATGGCCACTACAGGGATTGTGTAGTGAATGCAAAACTAGATTGCTTTTGGCACATTAATTCTGCCTTCCCCGCACAAGTATCAACATCAAAACTGTTTCCTTCATCTGCTCATGGGCAGCTCCTCTAACGTAAAATAAATAACAAACATTTGTGCACATGCTACACACATCCAGGATCCTTTGCTTGCCTGCTGGTCTCTGCTAACCTGAGACAAAAGTTAATGATTGACTGTGTCTGGAATGGAATACATAAAATATACAGCACAAACCACTGGAACAACATCCGCCTTCTTGTGTACATAGCAAAAGAGCAATCACTATTTGCACATGAGTTGTTAACTACTTGATCTCTGAGTTGTGCTTGAGGAAAGCTGCTGCTGCCAGGAATGACTGAGTTTTTAAAAGGCACAGCTTAAAGGAAAGAACTGAGCAAACAAAAGCCTTACATCTTGATTTCTAGAAATGATGAATAGCCACAAAGTTTACTGAAGGATGTAATTGAGAATGGAGAAATTGAGATTCCTGGGCCAGGAATCATATACATATACGTACGCATATATGTACCCCTATATGTATATGTATACATATGTATCTATGCATGCATGCATGTTTATATGTATGTACACATGGGACTTGATGTCATTAAAATTAGTACAAATGGGCAAGACTGAAACACGTGACAAGGTGCATCAGGTATCAAAGATTCTAGAAAAAATAAACATATACATTTGAGAAACACCTGCTTTTTATAGAATTAAAATAATTTATATTAATTAAGATCTGTATTTGAAAGGGGTGTGATAGGGTAGAGCTAGCAAGGAACTTCTTGATTTCAGAGCAGTTCATTTTGCAGCTCTACCAACCTTTACTTTGAAACCTTTTCTTTGGTGGAACCTCACAGAGGAGATGATTGATTGCCAATTTTTTGGCGGCTTGATTTTGGAAAACAAATTAATGAAAGTGAACTTATCTGGACAGAGACTTCTGGAGCACTTTGTTCCACACAGATCTGATGTTATAATTTCCTGTGTCCCACCCGCCCTGAAGAAGTCAGGATGCGAGCACCTTCTCAAGTGAGAGGACTGAAAACTATTTTTTCCAGGGTTAGTTTTCAGCCAGATCTATAGCTCTTGGCTAAGGGAAATGCAACCACTGGTGCAGAACTAAGGAGGTTGCAAGAACAATGTGCAGGGCATAGAAAAACATATTAACACTTTAGGTGGAGGTACAATATTGTACTGGATTAAGCAGATTACAAAATAGCATCTTAATTAATACTGTCTCTAAAGATGGCTTATATGTTTGTTTAATATCTGAAGATTGGTCAGGACCTGACTAGACAGGAAGTGACCTCTGGACAATTTGTTATCTTAAATCCTTACGTTTCTTTTAGTGCATAAACTTACTCTAGAGCGTTAACAGACTTTCAGACATAATGTTAGCATTTAATAAATAGCTATATGCTATATGGTTAATATACTTCTATATTATAGCAAAACATTAACACTAAGACTCTCTTGATTACATTTCACTGGAAACTGTTCCTGTTATGTGCCCTGGGTTCTTTGCACCTTAGACTACCAATGAACTTTTGAATCCTACCACCATTCTTTATTGCTCAGAATAAGAAAAAAAAATTATGGACCTGTAGGTGCTATCATCTTTCAGAAGTTGATGACCCTGAAAGTTACACACTGCAATATGTTAAGAAGTTTTCTTAAAGTGATACTCTTCCTGAAGTGAGAACTTTGGAAGACCAGTGAAAGCTGGTTTTGACTTGTCTCGAGGCTTCCAAATGTATAGTTGTTTACCATGTAAAACCTGTTTTGTAAGACGAAAGTCATGTACAAACCATACAAATCATATACAAAAGAGGTAAACAAATTTCTGTTGAACCATTATCTTGCATTTTGTCTCTTCCAAAAGAAAGAAAAGTCTCTAAGAAACTTGCTTCATATTTCCATAAGCCAAAAGACAGAAGATGCTGAATAGTAAGAACTATTCTATCAAAATCACTGGCTCATCTAACAAGTTTCCTAATTACTTACTCAACTACTTAACAGAAGGGTGAATGGGGAAAAGTGTTGCTTCTTGTAAAGGCTGGTGATAAAGAGGTATCCAAAAGTCTGCAGAGACATTAAACGTCATTCAAGCTACGCTTACCATAAAGAACTGCACCACATATACAACGGCAATATCGTTTTCTCATTGGTTTTCCTATTTTCTATAAAAAAGGTGCTCTTTTTGCTGTTCAGTCAACTGAAGCTTGAAGACACCCTGAATTACCAGGCATATTTTCTACAAGAAATGAGGGACTCTTGGATGATACACCAGATTCCAGTGACAATCTGGCACCAAGAACCAATTAGCAGCCTAGGAAGACTTCAGACACCATGACTTGTAAAGCAGGCAGTCAGGATGTATATCAAAACATGCGCATTGAAACTGCTCTTGGTTGCCAGAGGCAAGATCAGCTCTAAGTTAATGCTCAAACCCGGACAGAGATACTTTAATCTTTCTGCCAAACAGCGATGAAATGGGCACAACCTGCTGCCTTTGACCGGGAGGGAAATGAGCTTGGAATTGCTCTGCTTCTGATAAAATTCTTATCGACTTCAATAGTGCCGTTACATGTTCCCGTTATTATGCTTCCACAATGACTATCCAAAGCACTAAGGCTGTGACACCTTCCTTCAAGCACATCCAGCAAGACCAAGGAAGCTCAGGGATATTCACTTCCTAAGGGCTGCCCCAGGCAAATGTCCACATGAACCTGTGAGGTGGAAGCTTCAAAGGACTCTCCCGGTCCTGAGGAAGCTGAAGCTCATGATCCTCTCAAGCATAGCTCTCAGCTTCTTTAGGAGACAAGTCCATATTCATCCCCTGTAACTTACAGAGCCTGTTAAGGGCAGCTCTGTTGCAGCCATCACCACTGAACAGCTACAGGGTCTATGAAGCTGCAGCAGAACAGAGGGAAGAGCTGGGGCTTTGGATGGCTGAAGCTTGTCAAGCAGCCAGAGGCCAAGCAGTTCATCCTTGCAGGTCCATCAGTGCCTGCAGAGCCAACAGCCATTTTGTGCACATCCCAGCTCTTGCCTTGCTCTTCTTAATCTCCTGTACAGCAGCAAGAAGCTGCCAACGAGTCAGTCCTGAAGTGCCACACTGCTGAAATCTTCAGCTTTGTTTCATGGCTGTTAGCCTGGTAATGTAAAAGCTCATCAAGAGCCAAACTTCCAAAGTCCTCACTTTAAAAAATATGTTTCCATTAATCAAGAGTTAGATACTGGGTCAGACAGCCACTGGGTACAGAGGCAAAGGACACTACTGGATGTAAAAATTTACCATGTTAGCTAAAAGACAGCTCAAGATCCTGTTTATTTTCTATAAATCATCCCACCAGTGAAACAGGATTTACATCAGGGCATCATCTCTCACTAACTGCTCATGACCAAAGCCAGTGGGTGCAAGTGCAGCATCAGCATGTGCCAGCAGCCCAGCACACAAGGGCAGAGGCTCCTAAACTCACAGAGAAACACAGATCACAAGCAACTGAGGGACAGCAGCAAGGAGAAGCGAAAAACGCTTCGGCCTCCTCCTCTCCCCTCCCCTAGCTAGCACGCTCTTGCCTGGGGAGTGGAAGGGGGCACAGGGCTTCCATAACCCCCCCACCAGTACTGCCAGTGTGCAAAGCCAGGCTTGCCAATGTGCTGCCCAGATGACTTCAGTCCTCATGGCATGAAGGAGTCCCTGCCAGAGAGGAACAGATGTGCAATGAACAGGCCACAGGAATGGGGGCTATGAGGCATGGCAGGAGGCTGGGGAGAGACAGGCAATAAGAACTTCATAAGGAATTTTAATCAAGCAGCTCTTAAGTATTTGAGTTTAGACACGTGTTGTTTGGTGTAGCACAAGAGTGCTTTAAATGCCTACACTTGGTTGGCTTTGTGTAAGCAACACCACACTCACAGATTCATTTTACACTTTTACTCCTCAGTTATAAGTTCATCTTGCAGTATGCAACACTTGCTCACATGCACTTTCACCCAAATACACACATAATCACCTGTCCGGCTGCATCACCCTCGCTGGCGGCTTAGCTTGCAGTTGTAAGCATCGCTAAGAATAGAGTACAGTATGTTTCCTTGAGAGCGTGTGTGTGCTGATTCTCTGTCATTTGTTTGCCTACCCCAAAGGCTGCTGAGATAGCCTGTCTTTGATCCTAAAAACCCTCCATGTTTTCATTTAGCCTTAACAATTATACACTTATCTTGGACAGGAAAAGGGAAACTTTAAATGCAGGGTTGGCTAAAACTCATCTACCAGCCAGCTTTCTATTGCATATTTTATGGCTTTTATTGTCTAGAAAACTGAGGAAAACTAACCCTTCACATAGAGTACCCTAACAGAGAAACAGAACAAAGCTAACAAAAAACAGAGGAAGAAAGGCAATTTTAGGCTCAGTTTCACATGACAGTTCCAGCTGACCCAACAAGTCACTGCTGCCAGAATGAGAGATCTCGCTTCTTCTCTACCACCTCCTCTTCTTGCTCCCAGCTCTGCATTCCCACCACCTATCTTCCGTGGGTTACAGCAGTCAGCAGAGCAGAAAACTCACCTACCCACTGAATCACTGCATGGGATCTTCTACCAAGAAGTGCAAAAAGTACAGGAGCAGACACAAGGGAGGAGAGGGATCACACAGCCAGGAGTGGGGAACAGGAAAAGGGTTAGGGGGAGAGCAGATCTCCTTGATCAGCAGTAGCTAGACATTATGCAGGCTGAGTTGTTAATGAAACCAGAGTTCAAGAAGGTCTAGGTCACTTCCTACAGAGTGGCAAAGGAATGTCCATAGGTGAGTTCACAGGATGGGGAATAACAGTTGGACTTGATGATTTAACAGTTGGACTTGATGACCTTAAAGGTCTTTTCCAACCTAGTTGAGTCTATGGTTCTGTAACTATTTTCTATCTGTAGACTATCCTGCCCCAAAATAGCACTGTGTTTCATTACCTTAATGACAAAGATGACAAATGTCATCCCTGATTGTGACGCTGATGAGCTGATACTAGGAATTAGATTTGTTGAAGTTTCCTCAGTCTTCTCCATAGGGAAAGACTGCAAAGCTTTTCCATTCAACTATGAGGTAAATAGAAAGATTAATATGACTTAATAGAAATTTTGTATTAGCCTTGAATCTTCAGCTTCCAGTGTGGTAAATTAGGAACAGCAGGGTTCTTACTAGGCACTTGGATGAACAGCTCTGGCTAAGCCCACCACACAGAGCCTGCTTGCCAGTGCACCCCAAGTTTCACTTCAGGCTACTCTGAAGAGGAATCTCAAGCTTGGAGCAGACACTGGTGTGTACTGGAGCCAGGCCATTAAACCAGTGTTTACTCCCCAAACAGAAGTCCTGGTGTGCATCACAAGGTGTTAGTGGTCCTTACCTCACGGATAAGACAGTGTGTGTACTAGCAGCAGTGACAGCACCTTCCAAATCAAGCATAATTTCTATCATTTTCAGTGTTTGTCTGCCATTTGAACATAAAGGACAAAGAAAAATCAAGCAAAAACTACTGAGAAAGTATTTTTACATTGTCTTTCTAGTTACATGTATAGCACACAATACTAGTAAGTCTTTTCTTCCTGAATCACAGGATGTTCCATCAACAGACTGAAAGCCTTAAGATTTCTTTTTCTCCCCTGTGGTGTACGGGTGCAGATGGCACACTAAATACATCACTGAAACTAAAAATTAACTGAGTCAGGCATTTTTGTGAAAGGTTTCTGCGCTGCACACATCTCCAGTCACACACACTGTTAATTACTGCTGGCACTGACAGTGGGGATCCCCGTCCATCTGCTGGGACCAGCTGAAACAAAACAAACCGGAGCCCTGGGGAGAAGATGAACCTCTGCAAGGGCATTGCCCGCACGGCTGCGGGCCGGGCAGCTTCCCCGCACTCCGCTCCTTCTTCGCTGTAGTGTTCAAAGACTTCATTGATGACGGTTTCTCTGGGGAGGGGAGGGGGGGGGGGGGGTGTCATCTTTAAAGATGCAACTCTCCTTCTGCAGCGCTTGATGTCTTCAGGGATGCAGCAGCCTCTCCCCTGGACGCCTCTCGCCCCAGGCAGGGGAGCGAAGGTGCCCGGGGTAGAGGACCCCCGAGGCGCTCACTTAACTGGCCGGGCTCGCAGCTCCGGCTGCCACCTCCCCTCTTCCTCCTCCTTTTCCTCCTCCCCCTCCTCGCTGCGGAAAGCGGGTCCGGAGAGCGGGGACGCTCTGGAAGCAGGGCAGGTGCTCCGGTGCAAGGGAAGCCGGAGGTGGACAGACCCTCACCCTCCGCCCGCAGCTCCCCCTCCCGCTTTCACGGGGGCTGCTGCCGAGCCCCGCGTTCCCCGCCAAAGAGAGGGGCAGGCACCGCTTACCGGAGCTGCTCGCCGGTGAGCAGGACCTCGGCCATGTGCTCCAGCTCCGCCGCTTTCTGCTGCATGCTGCTCATGCCCTCCTCCATCGCCGCCGGCCTGCGAGCACAGCACCGCGAGTGAGGGGGGCCGGGACCCGCTGCCCCCCGCACTGGCACCTCCCGCCCGGCCCCGGCGGCTATAGAGCTTGTGGCCGGGTCTGGGGGTGCAGCGGCTGCCTCCTCCGCTGCTCCGCTCACCTGAGCGGGGCAGGTCACTTTTCCCCTCGGCAGGCTCGGATCCCCCCCGCGCCGCTTCCCGTGTTATTGTGTCACGGGCAGGCGGAGAAACACATGGCTGCAGCCGCCGCAGCCGCAGCCGGGCTCCCCGAGGCAGCAGCGTCCCCCCCCGGCTGTCACACGGCAGGCTTGGCGCTGCCGCCCCCCGCGGGAAGGGGCCGGCTCCCTGCCGGGAGCTGAGGGCCAGGGGCTGCCGCCGCCTCGGCTCCCGCCGCTCCCCGGGCCGGGCAGAAAGCAGGAGGCGGCCGCGGAGCTCAGCGCTCCCCTCCCGCAGTGCCAGGCGGAGCGGGGAAAGGTGCGCTCGGGAGCGAGGGGCCGGCCCCGTTGGTGAGCGCTGCCGGGTCTGGAGGGATGCGGCTGCTACAGCGCCCGCTCAGCGGTGCGCGCCGCGCCTTGCCAGGTAGCGTTAGCGATACGAGGGGCACGGAGGGAGCTCTTGGTCCGGATTGCCCCTTCAGAAATTGCGGTTGCCCTCCCGCTGTCAGGGTTTCCGCTCGCCCGTTACCCAGGGGGTATTTTCAAGCATCGGTCCCCTGCCCATCTCACCTCTTTGTCTCCAGGTGACAGCGGATGCAGAAAACTTGAGGGCTGAGGAACATTTGGTCTTGGCAATGGGAAGTAAATTGCAAGGTCATGAGCACTGTTTGTCAACATTCTTCATGGGGAAATAAACCCAGCCTTTTTTAAAAAAGTCCAGGGGGCACCTTCTGCAGTGGTCCAACAACGGTTTTCATTTACAGACACGTGCAAAAAGATACACCTTAATTGCCTACTCATTGCCTTTATTTCTGCCTGCACATATTCTGTGGACATGGAACTTGCTATGTTTAACTGTCTGCAATATTGGCATCCTTTCAGGACCAAGATTCTAGTTGCAGAAGGAACAGAACTAAGAGGGAACTAAGTGGGCCGGGAAGCAACCAGGCTGCAGACAATGGGAAGAAGGAGATTCTTTTCATGGCCCATAGTAAACCTGTGGTATTTAGTACCACAGGAGGTTTTGGGTGTTGAAGAATAGCCTTGGAGTCAAGGGAAAAATGGACAAATATATGGAAAATAAATCTGCAGAGGATTACTAAGCAGACAGCAGCCACATCCAGCTCAGGAAATTCTCTGTTCTAAAAATAATTGGAAGCTAGGCAAGCAGTTGCAAGAAGTTTCATATACGCTTTCCTTGCTGTTCACTAAGAATCTCTTTATAGCCACTGAGATGAATATTGGACTAGATGGACCTTTGGTTCAACCCAGGACAGGCATTCTGAGGAGAATCTCTTCAGGTCTCAAAGAGCACTAGAGATACATGGATGGCAAAGGGAGAAAAACTGCCTTCATTTCAGTCATGGGAGAGGCCAGGGAGAGAGACGCCTTAGGACTGTAAACAGGACAGCCTGAGATTGCTTGCTGTAAATCTAAAACTAAATCTGACAACTTGCAAACACCCTCTAATTCCACTTACACTGCAAACATACAACGTACAGATTCACAAAGCTGGAAACAAAAGGGGAATTGAAAGAACCATCTCATCTGACCTTATCTTTAGGACAAAGAATTTACACAGGCATTTTTATCAAGCACTTTGTCACATGACTGAAGGAAAGACAATTTCAAGAGAATGTTACTGTGCGCTGTAGACCATTTCTGGGTAAGCTCTTGGATACATCACATGGGTTTGGCTGATTCAGCCATTTATCACTGCTAAAAGGAGATACAGCATTCCTATCAGCTCCGGGAGCACAACCTGCAATGTGTCTTGTGCTGGTTTTCCCACTTTTAGGACCTCTGCTTACTGCAGTTAAA